CATTGAAGGCAAAACTATATCATTTACATGACAGAGTCCTTGCTGGAGGGGTTGCCCAGTTCTGCCTACCTAAACGATGGGAGGAGAACTCGGCAGTTTATTGCTGCCCTTTGCCAAACCACATTATTTGTGCATGAACCTAAGAAAGAAGCTAAATTAAGGACCTGCATTAAAATTGGTTCTGGTTAGTTCTGCCAAGGATTGGGTGAAATCAGGGATCAGGTTGCTTTTTTTCTGTGTGTATGTGTTTAATCGTATCTTGTTGTCTCTTGTAGGAAATTCAGCAAAGACATGGTCTAGCCAACTCCATCTCCTCGTATTTAATCAAGCCTGTCCAGAGGATCACCAAATACCAGCTTTTACTGAAGGTGAGGCAATGACCTATTCTGAGAAGCCAAATAGTCCAGATGGGGTCACAGAGAAATGCAGCAACTTGTGTAGGAAGCAGGGCCGAGCAGCTACGGCTGGGCTGCTTCTCCCCTTCTCCAGTCTGCAACTGAAGGCCGTCTCCATGTTCAGACGACCAAGGGACACAAGGGAGAAGTGGCAGGAGAAGGGGACTATTCACCTGATTTTGAACCCTCAGTGAAGGTGATGGGAAGACTCCAGTTGACTTTAGCCATTGGCTCAAGCGGAGGCTGGGTGCAGAAATCAGGAGGGATTTGATGGTAGAGAGTAACCGGGATGGAGAAATGACAGAGAAAACACTAATATAAAAATAAATTGAGGGAGAAAAGCTGATTTTGGAAGAGACAAATATCTTGCAGAAAGAGTGAAGATACGAAGTGGAAAAGAAAACGCAAGGGTGGGAAAACCCTGTGAAGAAGTCAGATTGTAATCTGCAAAGCACTGGAGAAAAGATGTGTTGAGTTGGAAAAGAGAGAGAGATTGAGTCTCTACTATGAATGAATGTCGAGCACCTGGGAAGTGAGTGCTTTGAAGAGGAAAGGGAATGAAGAGGGGAGAGCCAAGGGAGAGAAAATTGTTTTCTTTTATATTTGCTTTGCTTTTTGCAACATTTTGGTGGAAAATGGAAAGTTCAGATGTTTTAAGGAATACCAAACATCTGTCTCTTATCCTGGCTCTGGGCAGAGACCCCTTCTAGCATCTGCCTCCTTTTGGAAGCTGTGCATCAGCCTCAATTTTTTTGGAAAAAGCTGGCAGCTGTCTTAGGAGAATATGGTCACATACCAATAAAAAGCCTTTGGGATTTGAATGTGGAAACGCAATGGAAAGTTTCCATTACTTGTGAAATGAGCTTAGGTTGGGCAAATCTTTTGCAAAAACACTGACTTGTGTGCCTAACTTGTCTAGATGTTATCTGAAACAAGAGATTGTGCTATGTATAACTCTAATTCAGATAGTCTGTAAGGTGCCAAGACACCTTACCTTCAGACAAAAAACAGCTGGAAGAACCTCTCTGGTAGTAAGCAAACAACTGCAGCCTTATGGCCATGAATGAATTTAAGCCGTTCTGGCACTGCCTGAGAACTACATTTGGAAGTGTTGCAGCATCATTTGCCATGCACACTCCACGTGCATTATCCTTCAAATCGCTGATGCAATGTAGCCACTCCAGGGACAGATCCAGGATTTGGCAAAGAGTGTGCTGCAAGGGTAGCTGCATATTAGATCCCAGCTCCTTCCCCACTAGTTGCAGCAGAGCATGCCAGAGGACCCCCTGCAGACTTTTTCAGAGTCCCCAAAGCAAGTAAGAATCCCCTCTGCTCAAAGGCACACTGCTGGCACTGAGCCTAGCCCCCTTGCAGCCTGGATGGATCTGGCAGGAGCAGCTTTGAAGCTTCCCCTGCCCCCAGGACAGTGAAGAAAGCATCAGCAGCAGGCAGGGGAGAAGGGAAAGGGGAAGAAAGGGAATTTTTGTGTGGTTTGGGGATTTTATGAAAGTCCCCAGAGGCTCCTGCAGCATAGTCCAGATCAAAAGTGGGTGTATATGCCCCCCACTCCCTCTGTATCCAACCCTGAGCCACTTCTAACAGAGCAGGGTTCTTGGTTTGCAACACATGCCACACTGAGACGGCTTTTTCTGGGTGTAGTATGCATGGAGCAGCCATGGTGAGCTTCACTCCCATGTTTCCTCATCTGATCCTCAGGTAGCATACACAACTGTGGAGTATGTGCAGGTGTGGAAATACTGGTAGATTATCCCTGCAAAGCTGTGGCATAGTGGACACAGGTGTGCTGGGAAGCCTGGGCTTTGCACCTGTATAATAAAACCACTTCCCACAAGCAAAAGAAATGATATGAGTAACAGAGAAACTATACCAATTATAGCAGTGTTGCTGGTATGACTTTTGATTGGGCTCTTCTGTTGATGTAGGCACACACCTCTTCATTCTCCTGCTTGGCCTATTCTGCTGGCTAAAGCTTGTAGTGTGGACACAGCCTTAATTAAACCAGTTTAGTTAAATCAGCTTAGCTAAACCTCTGTGTGCACACTCTTATTTGATTTCAGAGAGGTTAATTGTCTTGTACTTTTAATGTTTCTTGTGAGTTTCCACCAGGTTTATATCAATTTCTGAATGCCCACATAACCATTCGTAATAGCTCTAAGGACATTAATTTGAAATCCCTTCTTTAGTGGAAGTTGTTAAACCTCTGCAAGGAGACCAGGCTTTAGGCGTGGAAATGCAACCTGAATCTAAGAAGTGAGAATGTGCAACCTCCTGCATGGAGCTTATTTGTATATATTCTGGTTTTTTTTTTCCTCAGGAGCTGTTAACATGCTGTGAAGAAGGCAAAGGGGAACTCAAAGATGGCCTAGAAGTAATGCTTAGCGTCCCTAAGAAAGCCAATGATGCCATGCATGTCAGCATGCTGGAAGGTAGCTGACTCCGGCAGTTCCAAGGGGGGAAGCTGTGCATGAACGAATCCCGAATGTCTTGGGCAGAGGTCCTGGTTCAGAGTTTGCAGTGACAGGCTTTTGACGGCTGACTGGTCCTTTGGGTCTCTGCTGCATCCCAGCTCCTTGGGAGATTTCTCTGAAAGGCTTGTCAGGGCAAGAGCTGATCCAGATATTTCAGTGAAGCTTTTTCCTTGCCACAAATTCCCACTCACTGGAAGCAAAAGTGTTCTCCTAAAAGATATTGTGGATGAGTTTTACAATTGTTTAAATGTCCTATTTTAACACTTTCCAAATGAAAAGTTTGGGGAAGGGGGTTTGAACCAAAGCAATTTTCTTTTCTTTTCTTTTCTTTTCTTTTCTTTTCTTTTTTACAAAAAGAATATTTATATTAAAGAATACATTGCAAAAGAAAGGTCAACATGAAAACAGTGTTTCAAAATTACAAAAATGAAACATCTTAATTGGCCCAAATGATTTTTTTTTTTTTTTTTGGTTCATGAAAATTTGCAAGACTGTGAATTTTCTCTCTGATTCTGGACAGGACTATTTTTTGATAGTTTCAAAATTGTCCCAGAATGGCAAAATCATTTCCCTTCCAGATCTAGGCAGAACTGACAAAGAAGAAGGGTACTGAAACAAAAGATACAAGGACTGTGCCACTTCGAGCTCTAAAGTGTGCCATGCCTGGGTGGTTGAAAATAACCAGTTGGCACACTGGTCTGAAGAAGTGAGAACACCTTGAAATCTCCCTGGTTTGACAGTAAAATCTAAGCCAAACTTTTCTGAGAAGCTTTAAGGCTTGAATGTTTATCAGGGCCTGGACTAATGAACCCATGCTCTGGTGTAACTTCTATCCATTTGTGTACTGAACTAGATTACACCGGGGTAGGAACAAACAGACATGAAATTATCCCAGTAGCTATTACGTAGTACATGGCTATGATGGTACCTTGCCACTAAGTAGAGGGGGGCAAATTGGAGCCTGTTTACATACCTAGCCAGACAGAAACTAAACCAGTATAGCTTATACCAATAGTGTTTTGTCCTGGTTCTTTCAAGGGTAATACCTGACCAGGTAAGGCAGAGTTATCTTAGTTTAACAATTTGCCTGCTCTTTTATACTAGTGCAATTCCCACTACACCCATGTTAATATTGCTTCTGTCCATACTCTCATTCTGGTGCCTAGCAAAAACAAAATTGCCCAAATATTGTGTTTGCTTGCAAAACCATATGCACCTTTTCCCCAAAAGTCAGCTGTCCAAAATTGGGGTGTGTACCTGTCACTGGAACGGAAGCATGAAGATGCTGTTTTGCAAGATGTCTTCCAGCTCCTCTCTCAACAAGCCAGCAAGGAGGGTGGAGTCCAGTGTCAAGCCT